TTAATTTGGTGGTATGGGCTTGTCCCATGAACAGTTCACACAAAGCGTTTTGAGAAACAACGCGCTAAGACTTGTCCCAAAAATTCAAACCAGTTTGAATTCGTGGGAATAGTTACAGGAACCAAAATTTTTAGTCTAAACGAATAGATTCTATGGGACTTGTCACCGCAACTTGTTGCAGGCACTAGTTGCAGGGACTAGTCCCCTCATGTGTGTCGGCCTCTACGAAAAGACAGCACGACTCGTGAATACATCAGACGATTCGTACGGATTGGAGGGATCGACAGTTCAATTTTACGACTCGTTTTGATCCGTGATATTGGAAAGCCTTCCAACCATTGTGGTAGTTACCTATTTATATTTTCTTAACTGTCTGTTGGTAAATCTCCCACTAGAGAGACAGAGATGAACAAACAAGGAGAGTCTGTACTAGGTGATTATAGCACAATTAAACACCTAAATGTAACAGTTACTGTTAGTAGATTGGTAGGGAACAAATCAGTAAAAAGCTGTGGCAAAAAATATACAATAAAATACTTTATTTACCCACGCTACATCTAGGAGTGATAAAAACTCATTAAAACATGTGCGTGAAGCAATAAACATTTTAAAAAAAAATCTATTAAATCTATCTAAAAAAACCAGCTTCTTGGAAAGACATTCAAAAGTAGAAATATCCTTGGCGTTCTAATATACGTAGGTAACGAATTCGAAAGCTTTGCCGCCAAAATGAGAATGACTTATGGCGCCATTCTAAATTAAAATTGGGTAGCGATAAAAGTGTCTCCCACCCTCTTAAATTATAATTACAAATTTTAGCCTGAAAGAAATCTTCTATGTACCTTGGGGCTTCTTTATAAATACATTTATATACCAAAACTAGGAACTGGAATTTTCATCTTTCTTCCAACTTTCTTATACCCGCCAGCCATATTTAATAAATGGTTGTATGGTGTATGCGGTCTATATCCTAAATTACATCTAAAAACATAATTATTGGTGTCTTCTAATTTTGTAACTTGACCTCTTCCAACTCCAATTAACAGCGGACAACAATGTTGTAAATGAGGCAAAATATATGCTTTATAAAGGCGGAAAATTACGTCTAAAGGATTAAAACCTGTAAATCCTCCGTAACGAAGAGGCTTTGGCACAGGCCTTTTTTACTTGTTCGGACACATGACTGGCAAAATTGAGCTTACGATCTAATGTAACACCAAGGATTTTAAGTGTATCATTGGCGTGCATTTTTTTTTAAATTGGTAATGTATACATCAGATTTCCTTAAATAAGCATCCATACTCTAAAAAGTGCCCATCCCCCTGCAGTGCAGTAATATATCAAACAAGCTCTCTCCTTAACTAAGCGCCCCTCTCCCATCTTCCCTCACTTTCCTAACTGAAAGGAAAAACTGTTTCGTTTACCACTTTACTTAGAACTTTTGAAAGCTTCATCTACAGCTAAATCAGTGCAGGTTAATAGTTCCTTGATAAAATTCCCATAGCTCTATTAACTGCATTCTTCCTATAAACGCCCTCCTTTTAGCCAAAATTTGAAATATGAAGAAGCTGGGAATTTATTGAAGGGAATATATAGTATCTGAAATGATTAAGTTTGGAGAACAAGTAAATACGGCCTGTATGTAATCGCCGAATAGGATGAAGCTATTTTACATATATTAAGTTTCTGTAACTGCTAAACATATCAATGCATTTGTCCATGTCTCCCTTTTTCCATGACACTCGTCACTCTGCTGACTTTTTCAATGAGGCTAAAAGGAGGCAAAATATTCTCTCACTTATGCTTAGCACTAATATAGTTAACATGTTTAACATTTGAGTCTTGCCTGTGGTTGCATCATTTAATCACTGCATTTGTACTTCTTTTTTTTTTAATATTGATCAGATTCAGGTAGAGCTGCATATGATTCAACAGAACAAACACAGAGAAACGAGAGAGACATTTTTACAGCAACAGGTATAACATGTGGTATACCATATGCCTCTCAGTAATTTAGTTACATTTCTATTCCAATATTTCTTTGATTTAATCCGTATAACGTTTATCAACGTGTGATTTCATTCGCACAAAATCTTAGTTTAGAGCCTCAGAATAAAGGGGCAAGATTTTTGGTTTTCAGCACAGAAACTAATAGCAAAGCATTTTTTTATTCAGATAGGACAACTTAATTTCAGACATTCATCATTTCCACTTTTCTCTTGTCTTCCAAATGGTGTTCTGTTTGTAGGCTTGTTAGCATGGCCCATAATGTGGTATTTCTCTCTTCCTTCTACACAGAAAAAACTCCAATCACCTCTTTAAAAATGAAGAAAACAGATAGGAATGAACAATCAAAGTCTGTTCAAGGTGAGTAAACGTTACAGAATATCTCGTGATATGACTTAATAATGAATGTCAATAAACTTTAATTTGATACAGCCACACACAGAACAAAGCTGGTCAGTTAATACTAAAAATTGCCGATTGAAATGTAATAGAACATGATTGACCTATGAGAATTTTTTGCGAAATAGCAAGGCTATGAAGAACTTCTTTTTTCCAGGTATAACTTTTACATTCTATCTGTAACGCTTTTAGCTACTGAAAACAAACCGTTGCAAGGCTTCATTCTAGCTGTGTTGTGAACAAGCTTTTGGGACTGTTTTTGATTACTAGTCGTGAAAGCCTACATAATAACTTAACTGAATACCAAATTGACGGCTAACTGGGATTTTTAATCACAACGCACACTTGACACAATTAATATCGACCAAGATTCGACCGTAGGCCTAAACAATAATACAACAAAATCTATCTGTCTTGGTAAAAACTCGCTAACATAAGATCAAGACAGTTGTAACAAACTAACCTGGATTTATCGATGCGATTCAACGAAGTAAGGAATTTATGTTTTAACACTTTAGGCCCACTTTAATAACATTTCAATAACTGAAATGTTATTGAAGTGTTATTAACGTTTACTCAGTTAGATTATTTATCATATTTTTAATGACAATTATCTTGTTATCTTTATTTTATATTATATGAAAATTCGTTGCCTGACGAGGGAATTCCGCGTTAAATTGCACGCGAAAAGTAATATCGCACGAATCGCGAAGCTTTGAGTGCGATATGGGTTTTCGGGAGCGAGTTAACACGGAATTTACGAGTGAGGTAGTGGATTTTCTTTGACTCGCTTAACTGACTACAGATAAGAAAAAAGAAAAGAGCAATAACATTTTGTTTTCTACATATATTAAAAAATTTTAGCCAAAAATTCATTCAGTAAAGATTAAACCATGGACACTTACGTGTATCACGTGCCTGTGAAAAGTCAAAAGTTTGGAGAAACCAAGAAAGCAAACACAATCCACAGTAGGTTTTTAAAAATAATTTTTTTTTCAAAAAACAAGCTCAAGTGAAAGAAGACTAATTAAAGAACTTATTTCCGACGAAAAAAGCGATAGGAGCATATTACGTTTTAACTCAAAAATCAAGATGAAAGATAAAAATCGCTAAATATTTTCGCATGACTGTGTGCAAATGGGCTTGTGGATCATATTTCAAAATGGAATATGCGAATTTGTCCGTGACTGAAGAGATCTCAAGTTCCATGGAATCTATCAATAGGAAGCAAGACTAAAATGGACAAGAAATATTTCGAGACGACAGATTTATTGAAAACAGCTTTCGATTTGCAGTTATAAGCGAAAAACCTAAGAATTTCTTACGTGTACAAAGCCCACGCGGTCAAATTCATCAATTTTTACTTGCCTTGAAAGCCAGAAATTTCGCAGCGTTATGTTGAAAATTCTGAAAAAAACTTCGATTTGACGCAAAATCTTCTATTAAACAATACTTTTTTAACACATTGTTACTCGAACATAATATTTACCGGGCCATCGTATCGTCAAATTGTCGCTAGGCCCTACTTGAAGTCCTAAAGTTCGGTTTTCACTTTACCTCCATAATTCGCATCGCCTTGAGAATCGTAGTGTCGTTGAGTCGAGAGTTTATTCTGTCACCTTTAAGACCTTGATATCCATTCTTTTCCAAGCAGAGTAATCTATAGCATTGTTACTTTACATTCTGAGCTCCACAAGGTCTAACTCGATCGCAAATGAACGAAAAATCCGACCTGAAAATTTTGAGGGTCGGCCGCGCGGACGCCATATTTTCAAATTTGATCGTATGGTACTTTAGTGATAGCATACATGACACAGGGCACGTACTTACCTACGTAAGTACGCTCGGTCAGTCACGTGACAACCAAACGAAAAGAGGTTGACCATATGCCATGGGTATGGGGCTCTGCCCCACGCGCGCGAAGTGCGTGTGGGAGCCCCGCTAAAAATAAGAAAAAGGAATACGTAGTTGTTATGTATACGTAGATGGGAGACAATATCACTTTGCCTGATTAGCCATGCTAGATATTTTACTTAGTTATCTAATTATGCGATTCTGTAACAAATTTTCCTCTAAAACATTATTAGTTTCTTAACTCCTCCCCTACCTCCGCATTCTTTTTGGATTATGTGGCCTTTCTTAATTTCTTTTCTTCTTATCTGATTTTAGGCAGTACTTCTGTGAGCTAGCACAACAAGGAATTGAATCAGTTACATACAGGCGTTTAGTGTTAACTTATAAAAATCCTTAGAGAATTCTACGACAGTTGGACAAAACGCGTCGAGGGACAAAATATTTTAAAACTACTGCTCGCATAGAGCTGCTCACAAGTTCAATTTTTTTTCAAAAATTGCTCTCCCACCTCGACCTCTTTCTTTCATGTTACCTGTATTAATTTCTTTTCAATTTATCTGATTTTAGCGTTTTCTATTGACTCCAGAGACGCAACAGGCAGAACACCCCAAATGCATGTAGTTCGAAATGGCGACGTTCAAGCGGTGAAAAGTCGGATTAAGAGAGGAGCAGATCCGTCCCTGACGGACAAAAGATGATGGAGTTTGTTACATTTTCCCGCAGTGGGTGATAATACTGATATGATTGATCTTATGCTTACTCACGTGCCGGACATTGAGTCAAAAGCCGCTAACGGTGCTACTCCTCTACTCATTGCTGTGTTTAATGAAAAGCTGCAAGGTGTAATGCATCTCCTTGAGAGGGGAGCCAATCCTTTGACTAAGGATAATGACGGCCATGATTCTTTATATCTTGCCTCATCACGTGACTCAGATGTTCTTGACTTACTGCTGAGTCACGTACCTGACGGTGAGTGAACAACACTATTCATTCGGCTTGGGTGGGGCAGAAATAACCTTATTTTCTCCACTGGAGCTGCTAGGATGAAGTACATTCAGGAGTATATAAAGTTGTTTCAAGAAAGGTTGTTGGCAAAAAGCATATAAATTTACGTGACAACTCCGAATCGTATTGCGAGCAGTTCTCAGGTTACGGTTCCCTGACTTCAGGATTTCTGTCAATTCTAAGGAAAAGTCACTATAATGAGGAGGCGGGTTGAACTATTTGATTGATTTTTCACATTTAAATCCATGAATCACTAGATACCAATATTACCTGTCGAGATTGTCACGAGCACTTTTGTCCTTTTTTCCAACAATCTCTCTCGAAACAGCAGTTTACGTCTGTAATGGAAGTCATTAGTGATGTGAGAGCTGATCAATTTGAATAATTGTGTAATGCAGTGGAATAATTACTTGAATACTGAAAATTGGTGAGTCAGATTTCAGAAAGAAGTATTTTAAAGCTATAAACAAGTTTACTTAACTTGTGCAAATGTAATATCCTGCCTGTAACGCTTGCAGCAACTAAAAACAAATGAAGGCAAGGCTTTGCTTTAGCCGTGTTGTTAACGAGCAGTCGGGACTATTTTACTAGTATTGAATGACAAGAGAATCACGGATTACCGGTGAGAGTGATTTTTAACGGTGATTTAAATGTATTGACGAACAATCACAACCAATACCTGACCCAATTAACATCGACCAAGGTTTGACCGCACTCTTAAACAACAATACAACGAATCTCAATCAGTCTCGGAAAAACTTCGCCGACATAAGATCAAAATGTGTACTACAAACTATCATAGCATAACCAAAGTAAAAGCGCGCGCTCCGATTGGTCAATTTAGCGACCCCCATTTGCCCATGGGTATGCGCTGCTGACGTGAACAAATGCAAAGACTATTTTTCCGCGCGCGCTTGTTTTTTCTGGTCACGTAAGATTTGTTAAATAAAAGGGAACTCTTTAGCTACAATGTATCAATGTTATGTTATAAACCAAATGGTAAAAAACACAGTGTACACTATTTAACAATTGGTTTATGCTTTAGCGTGCACTATCGAGTTATGGAGCAGGCGGGAAGTTTGGAGAGCACGAAAGAAGCGTAAGAGTTGCCCGAAGCGATGAGCCGAGGGCAACTCTAGCCTCTTGGGATTTTGAGCACGCTTACGTATGAGATACA